TAATATTTCTTTAGAGATATAGCTAGAATATCCTTAATGCCCTTGTTTGAGGTTGTTGAGTTATCTGGCTAGCTGAAGATTTAATGACTTGCCCTCTAGCTGAAGGGTGGTGCATTAAGCTTTAAAGCTAATAGAACTAAAGTCAAAGCGAAAGGTCAATGCAAAAGGCAATTAAGGTGAATGAATGTAACTGCCGTGTTTTAAATACGAGCTGCTTTTATCACTGTTATCTATAAATATAGTAATAGTCCTGCCTTCTACACCATTCTTCTCGATATCCTCTCATCTCTTCGTCAACCAGTTTGCCTGCAAATACAGCCCTTGATACCATCGAAATCATGAAGCCTGTGGCCATTCTTTTCGCGCTTGCCAGTACAGCCTGTACAGTGTCGGCTGGTTTGCCCCGTTTTGGTTCGTGATATCCATTGCGATAAAAGATGCTGCTGTTCTGACTGTACCCCTCACGCAGCGAAATGTACCGCTGCTTCGCAGTGCAATTCCAATTATTGCGCCCCTATGAGCCATGCGGACTGCGACGAAGTCGTCAATTGCCGTGGTAAGTAGCAAGACTACAACATGCCTCAGAGAGGCTCAGAACAGGGACTAACTACTTGAAGATAGTGTATGCTATGGTGCTTCAGTGGAATGTAAGCCAACCATGAAACCAGGTCTTGCTGTTATTATACTTACTGATACGTAGCTCCGTGTTCGAATGACTGGGAATGCAACTCCAACCATTGCAAGGGTACGGCATTGACCACTCCATACGAAATCTATACTAACGCATCGCAGGAGGAAGATGCTATGACTGCCGTGATCCTCGCAACCTAGCCAGGGCCAGACCCCCGTACCTCTCTCTAGGCTGTATGTCTTTGTTTTGAAGTTTACCATCCTGCTTGAAAACTGACTGTATTTCTTTAAAAGCTTCTTGTACTGGATTCGGAGATCAATGTTGCGAGTCGCAGTGTCGAGGTATGTTGGCAACCCCTGGTTTCGGTCTAGATTGATGAAAGCTGACAAGTCTATAGCCAACGTTCAGGGGAATATGCAATGCATTAGTAATACGGTGATCATGCAGATGGGCGGGCATGGACCGTTCCCAGTGGAGAATTCACCTCCTAGGCATTGATTCGACCTGCCAATAGTTGAGATGTACAAAGATCCTTTGGTTTGAGAGGCTTGGCATTTATGGAAGCTGAGATTTTATGATGCAGATTGATAGATAGATATATGGCTCTAGTACACTACCTCCGCCGCCCAGTTTTTAATAAAGGAAAGGTATTCAACACGTTTATTAAGGATGGGATGACTTCCGTTTCAGTACAGAATGGCTAACAAAGCGGCCTTGCTTTCGCATTTGGTCTAGGCAAGACTGGGAATGACATAACTCCAGTGGTATCAACCTTGACCCAAATGGCTGCAGCTTTCGAATTCCAATTTTTGACGGCAAGGTGGCCAAATTGCCGTTGGCAGGTCGCAGCATAATGAGCTGGGAACGAGTGCATGGCGATGCTAAGAATTTATCCTACCTTGGCTGTAGAAAGGCGCCCGAGTCTTGATCAAGTAATCTGATCGCTGTCAGTTGGACCGAAGCCGAGGTATCCCATGTACAGAATGAGGGGAAGCATATCCACTTGCACGGAATCAGCGATGTCAACTTTTAAAGATGGATATCGGTCTTATTAGTGCAACCTCGTGGATAAACGGTTCCTGACAAGAGTGTAATTGAAGCATGTTATTCGCCGATCTTTCCCCGCAATCTCGCCTCTCCCCAGATTTCTCCGCGTATGACTTCGCTCCAAGCTCCACTACCCCAGATGGTTCATAGGCGATTGATAAAGATTTATCCGCCCCATGATGAAACGGCATCTCGGCACATAGTGCCATTTAACTGTAGATGCAGATATACTTATCTATATATAAGATGGCAATTTAGCGGAAGAGACAATAGAGACATTGCAGTATCAACTATCGGCAAGATGAAGTCTCTCACCTCATTTGTGGCAGTCGCTCTAGCTGTGTGCACCATAACCGATGCTCGTGGACTGCACTATCAATCCGAAGCTCCACTGAATATCAAGACAACCAGTGGTCATCTCTCAGGCTTCATCAACAAGACCGCTCCCGATGTTCGCCAGTTCCTCGGTGTTGCCTACGCTGAACCTCCTCTCAAGTCCCTTCGCTTCCAACCTCCCAGGCGAAAGCACAGCTCAGAGCACGTATCAGCCAAGAAGTACGCACCATCATGCAAGCAAATCATCAGCAAGAACCCGACCGTGTACACTGAGCACATGACTCAGTTTCTCATCAATGGCGGCGACTCTGAAGATTGCTTGTATCTCAATGTCTACGCCCCATTGAAGCCAACTGCAAAGAAGCTGCCTGTCTTTATCTACATTCCGGGCGGTGGTTTTACAGGTGGTGGTGCGGACTCACTTTACAAGATCCCCGACAAGTGGATTCAGAAGACTCAGTCTCACATCGTTGTCACCATGAACTACCGCGTCAATCTCTTTGGCTTCCCCAACGCAGAAGCTGCTCAAAAAAACGTCGGCCTTCTTGACCAGCGCATGGTTGTTGAGTGGACACGAGACAACATCGCAGCCTTCGGTGGTGATCCTCAGAAGATGACCCTCTGGGGCCAGTCTGCTGGTGCTGGCTCAGTTGGGATGTACGGATATGCTTATCCCAAGGACCTCATCGTCAAGGGTTTGATATCTGATTCCGGTGCTCCGGCTATGCTGGCCAAGGTTTATGGTAACCACTCCAGCTTCGATACCCTTGCCGATAAGGTTGGCTGCAAGGGTTTGGAGGGCAAGAAGCAACTGACCTGCATGCAAAAGGTTGATGCTTCAAAGCTGCAGAAGGTTTACTCTGAGACACCGACTATCTCGTTCACTCCTGTTGGAGACAACATCACTGCGTTCTCTAACACGACCGACCGACTTGCGAGAGGTTTGGTCACTAGAGTGGTAAGTAGCACTGATATTTCGCTACTCACGATGAATGTCTGACTGACATGCGATAGCCATGGATCTTTGGTAACAATGCCAACGAAGGTGCCGGTTTTGGTACATACGACCCTAATGGCGTAACACCAGCCCAGACTGCCATTGGATTACAGGCTATCGTCTGTCCAGTTGCTACTGAGGTCAAGTAAGTACCCCCTATGTCATAAGATTCGTGTTGCTGACCTATGCCCCAGAAACCGTGCCAAGTATGGATACCCAACCTACAGATATTATTACACCGGAAACTTCTCCAACATTACCCCTCTGCCTTGGATCGGCGCGACTCACAGCGGTAAGTATATCATTTCTATTGGCAGGTTGTCTTCTAACATGAACCAGCTGAGCTTCCCCTTCTGTTCGGAACACATTACGAGTATCGCGGTAACTCCACCGAGTACGAATGGGAGGTTGCCGAGGGTATGCAGAGTAGGTCTCACCAACTACACTTTGCTTGGAGGTTTACTAACAACTGCAAAGGTCTTTGGCTCTCTTTCGCAAACAACCCCAACAAGAACCCTCAAGCAGGAAAGGTTACTTGGCCTTTGTACAAGCCAAATGAGAAGAAGATGGCTGTTTTTGCAGAGGCTGGAAAGAAGTGGTTCCAGTTGGGCAAGGGGTCTCTGACTGAGACCCAATGCAAGTAGAAGGATGGGAGTTTCAGGAAAGCAATATATATATCTTCAAGTATATAGTTCGAGTCTGTGAGTTACAGAAATCGGATATTTCTACAGAGATTATCCCTTGTTCATACTATCTCTAACGTTACTTCATATCATTGACTCCAGGAGCTTCTAGAATCAAGCGTAGGTGATTATGTTATAAAACCTGTAGATCTAGAATGTAACTCAGGCTTCAATAGTACGATATGTTTACTTGCATTATTGTATCCTATGTCTTATGGACTAAGATAGCACCTGCCCACAGAGACCCAGGATTGAGACGGTCTGGATAGATCTCCATCATACGGGCATAAAGCTCTTCAGCTGTCTTTGTCTCACCGCTCAGTCTCTCAAAGACCTCCAAGTATGTCTTAGTATCCTCAATTGCTTCAATCCCAAATGGGCGACTTGGGTCACTGTGCCCGCCCACAACATGATCGGGCTCCAGTGCAGCGATAGTGTCCAGAGCCTCAGTCCACTCCCTTCGCTTGGCAGCTGTTCCAGACTCTCCCAGATACGGATGAGTGTTTGCGTACACAGCATCGCCAGTCACGGCGAGCCTGATAGAGGGAACCCAAAGAGTTGTCGTATCATCCGTGTCCGTGTGACCCGTCCTGACAACCACCAGCCTCTGACCTTCAAGTTCAAGGTAGTCCAGCTCAAGAGGCTCGGCGACCCGTAAAGTCGGCGGAATCTGGCCCGGAAACAGCTTTTCCCAAAGCCCGGTGAGACGTGCTGGCGCAGTCTCTAGCTTCATCCTGGCCACAACTTCAGGTGTTGCGACCATGATGGCACTAGGAAACCGCTCCAGAATGGGCGCGCCGCCAAAGAAATGGTCGCCGTGGGCATGTGTAACATAGATATGAGTGATGTTCTTGCCGGTTTCGACAACCCAATCCAGGAGCTCATTCGACGCTTGGGAAGTCAACTGGGCGTCCACTAAAACAGCATCCTTGTCACCATATATCAGTGTTGAAGAAGTAGGCACCCATCTAAGGCGGTCGTGACCGGCGGGCCCTGAGCGGGTGGCCGAGTCGCGTTTGCTGAAAAAAACACTGTAGTGTAAAACCATTTTGAAACGGGATAAGTTACGCGGTGCTAATGAGACTGAAGTAGCACCTCCTTGAGAGATATTTATAAGCAAACGTTCAAACGTCTATCTGCGCACCGCTGAGTAATTGACTTTATCACGATATATTGTATAGTAATCAGGTCCGAGCTCCGAAAGCCCCTTTCGGAATAATTAGACAAGTGGCATGGCATGGACCTCGGCGGTCCACAACTTTTAGTGTTTGAGTAAGTAAAGCGGGATAATAATAAGACCGTTTGGATATCCCGTCACTAACGTCGTCTTATAAATCTATGCTATGATTTGTTGCTTGTTTTCAAAGTTCAACCAGTATCCATTGCATGTCCCCTCTGTATTTTCAGTCTTTGCTCGACTAGTACGCACCCAAAATGCCTCGATACTCTAGCTCGGTTGACGGTGCCGAACTGTTTTATCGCTATTATGCTCCAGAAGGCAGAACCCCGGCGCTCACGACAGAACTGCCCCAACCAGCCAAGAGCTTGGCTCTGGTTCTTCTTCACCAGTGGCCTCTCTCATCCCGTATGTACGACTCGATACTACTGTCACTTTGCGAGACTCACGGATACCGTGTGATTGCCCCCGACAGGCGAGGTTTTGGCAAGAGCGACTGGGCTGGACAACAGCCCACAGTTCCCATTAGCTACAAGGAGCTTGGGCAAGACTTGTCGGACCTGTTGGAGAGAATCCAACCAGGGCCTTTTGTCTTTGTTGCCACCAGCATGAGTACGGGTGAAGCGCTCATGGCGTATCTTAATAGCTCATATATACAGGAGAACTGCCAGGTCAGTTGTATTGCAGGCCACCTTGACGAAGCCAATGACTTAACAATGTCTTAGGGTATGATATGGATAAGCACGTGCCTACCGTATCCTACAGCCTCACCACAAAATCCGAAGGCTACGCCACAGAGCGCATGGGATGCAACCATCATGGCTCTGCGACAGGATAGGCCTAACTTCATTGCCAACGGCTTCAAGGGCCCCTTTGGAGACTCAAAATCAGGTTCCGTCACCGAGAAACAGGTTGCGTTTTTCGAAAACATCTTTTTCGAAGCTGATCCCTTCGCCGTTGAACGCTGCCTACAAATTTATTCCCGTGAGGACCTGTCTGAGGGGATCAAAAGGTTTGGGCAAATGTTCCACAAGCCTTTTCTTCTTATTCATGGCGGGGGCGACATGGCAGTGCCCGCTGAAGTGAGCGCAGAACTTGTTCAGAGGTCGGTTCCTGGAACGAAACTGACTATATATGATGAAGGAGGACATGGTGAGTTTCCAACTTTCGGCGCTTAGTAATGCATAGCTAACCTGAAGGGGACTTATACCCGCATAACCGGCTGTGCGTTTAGTATCACGTGTTTTTCGCATAACCGGTTATGCGGATAAGGCTGAATGTCTGACTTTGGATTAAATGCATAACTGCTGTTTAATAATAATACTATTTATAATTAAAATAGCTATTTAGTGGTATTTTTTATCTTTATAACTGCTTATTACTTTATATTTTATATTATTGATCCGCTGCCTGGCCTTTATCTATTGCAAATAACATAGAAGTAATATTGTGACGGTTGGTTTCCAACTGTGGATAAACTAAGCCGTGCTAGGTTTATTGTTGGCAGATTGCGTAGGGCGTGTAACTGAGCTTGTCGAAG